TCTGTAAACCGCTTAGAGAGGGCTGAAAGCCCTATGAAGCGGTATATAAGTCTAACTGCTATTGCTATTGCTATTGATCTAGAACTTTGCAGTTTCACCCATACAAGAAGCATTACTAAATGAATTTCCTGTATCCAAACTTTTCTTGACAGAGAGGCTGGCAGGAGACATCATCATGGAGTTAAGACCATCAAGTCTGCTCCTCTTCTTTCTCCTCACATGACAGGCACACTTGAATAAGAAGGCATCAACAAAGCTTTATTGTGGTTACTATTTATTGTGGATACTATACTTAGTATAATCTGTTCTCAGAATTATGAAAAAAATATTATCTAAAATCTTTTTGTGTCTATCTATAGGGGAAGAGTGACCAACAGACCAGACAAGGAAGAGTTACGTATAAATTGTACCTTATTGCTGTTATTATATGCCCACTCACAAGTGTGAGATGTTCACACACATGCAGAGTTCTCAAACAACAGTCCGTATATGTCTCATGCAAACCAATAATAATAACTGAAGATGTGAGTTGTTTTTTTTAAATTTCACATACGAAAAAAACAATGTGAAGGCACTCATGGATCAACATTAGAATACTTAGCAACACATTTTTATAGGTCTAGTTCCTGCTGAGGTAGTAAGGTTTAGATTTGATGGGGCTCCCCCAAAAACCATAATGTGGCAGCGTCTTCTCAACATTGATGCCCACCAACAAGCTATCCCTAATGACAGACAGAAGAATTTTCATCTTCTGTTTTAATTACCCATAATGCTTGGATATGATGTGATTCCAGAGCTTGGTGGAGCATTTTAAAGGGCAGCCAGCTCACAACAATCTGCAGAGAGATATTAAAAAATTTGACCACCTCGTACAGTGGGACAGGCCCAATTTCAAGCAAAGTGCCTAATTTTTGAGTTGAAAGATTCCAGGTATTTTCACTCTATCTGGAATCTCTACCTATCCTATGTAAGCTGAGGCTATTAGTATAGTATAATCTTTATTGTCATTGTACTTAAATACAACGAAATTGGTTAATATTAATATTAATAGGGAGTGGATATAGGGTCCATTACCGATTATTGACTAAAGCCACACTAAAGTAATAATGGGTCAGGGAAAATGATGTAACTTAGACATGATCACTTTCTTTTTTCTATAATCTGAGGATGTGGTTTTTAGCCCAAACCCAACTTTACCACCTCAGACAGAATTTAGCCCTTGTAGCTTGTTGCTCCCTAAGTCTGAATGACATGGATTTGGCTGAAACAGGAGATTCTTTAAAACAGTGGTAGTCAACCTGGTCCCTACCGCCCACTAGTGGGC